ATGTGCATCACATGCCACACAGCAGGAGAGAAGCTGATCTGCCATGAGGTCCTCATCTCTCCTGATGGATTCAACCCGACATGCTGTGCTTGCACTTACTAACACTTGCATCCTGCAGGGAGCTACAGAAGCAAAACAAGGAATCTCTCCAGAGAAGTCTGGAACAGATTCAAAAGCAAGGAAAGCAAAGGAAGCAAAGACATAACAAAGACTCAGGCTTCACATACCTCACTTAGCTGTAGGTGAGCTAAACTGGTGTCTTCTACCACAGCTTTGTTAATATATTTGTGCCTTGTGTTTTGGGTGGGTTTCTTTTGTTTCTAAATCTTAGCAGTCATTCCTTCCTTTGCACCTCTCATATCCAAGACTCTGACATTTCCTCCTCTTCCCTTAGCCACCTCTGTCCTGCTTCCCTGCCAGTGTGTTGGGAGTTTACATTTTCCCAGTGCATCCCTACTGCTTCTCAACCTACTGTGCTACTTTTACAGAGCCAGAGAAGATGCAGCACTTCAAAGGCAGGGAGTACATGCTTCCTCTTGTCCACAGTGCTGTGCAACTCCCACACATCAACCAGACTGGGGCAGAAATGAGTTTCCCTGCATGTGACATGAGGGTTGTGCCTCTCAGGGTGAGAACAGCACTATTGAATCCCATTTAGCAGTTTCTACCTCTCCTCCATGGGCTATGTTCACTGCTGGGACAGGTCTGCCCTGTCACATTCAATACAGGCTCATTCCTGGAGCTCAGAGCATCTATCATCTTCTAAACAGACTTCTGTTCTTGCAAACAAATTCAGTAGGCAGCCCCCAGTGCAGTGACCTGAGCAGATTTCATTGCAACTCAAGCAGCACCAGTCTGACCCCTTGAAAGCCGAAGTAAAGAGAAATTGTACTTTGAAATGAGGTCATTACAAATTACAAGAGAGGAGGGGATATTGCTGCTGAGCACGTGAGTAGGAGAACAATGGTGAGGGGGTGGTTAAGATTAAAGAGCTAGAGAGAGAGATTAACATCTCATGACTGATTTTTGTTCACTGACCTGCAATAAAATAAACAGTAAGACTTTAACAAATAGGTGACTAGCCGTGTTATTCCAGTGCTGTCTTTGCTATTAGAGTACAGCCATGGTCTTCACTTTTCACTGGCTAATATTTCCTGGTTTTTATAGATAAGGCTGGTGGAGTTAAGGGGAGTAAGCAACAGAAATCTTGCTATGCTTATAAGCATAAAAACAGTGCTTCATTTTCAGAGTGCAAGTGACTGCCCCTTCACTACTCCCTCCCCTGTTGGCTGGCTGGTGTTTGATTGCCTGCATACAAAAAACAAGCTCAGCAGATCAAGTGGTTTGCCGTTCACATTTTCAGACAGCCAAAATCAGGGAGCTGAAAGGTGCTTGTAGATGTGTGCACAGTGGGATTGATGAATTATAGCCTTCTGCCACCTTGACTGAAATTTGCTCCTTTCCTGAACTACATTATTTCTGGAAGAAAAAAAAAAAAGGCTTTGCTGTGACCAGACCAATTAGCCAGGACAACTTCATACTTTTTTTCTCAGCTACACAAAAAGCAATAGACGTAGTTCAGAGCTCGGGTGAGATGCAGAGTCACAAATTTGTTCTACAGAACCCAGAAGAGATCTCTGATTGTATGTGCATGCTTAGCACCAGTTGTCACATGCATACAGTTGGTGCCCATCACTGCACTGCAGTATTATCCACAGTGAGAAAGGTAAGAGACCATTCTGGGTCTGCTCTAGGTACCCAAAATCACAGTGCTGAGGCCTTGTGCAGCAAGTGGGGAACTGGACATGGCATCATCCACCTTCCCTTTGGCAATTTAAGAGCTGCCTATTGTATCCCAGAGACTGACTCCAGTAGCAGTGCTCATGGTGGTAACTTGGTGCTGTAATTCACAGCCCAGTTTATGACACTGACATCTGATGGTTACAGCCAACACTCTTGGCTGTGAACAACACAGCAGCTGAGGCACAGACATAACTGCCTGCAGGACCAGAGGTGCTAACTTCTCAAATTGCCCCACACAAGCTTGTGAGCCAGTCTTTTGAGCACAGCCAGAGTTACTAGAGTGCTGCCTGTGCAAGCAAGCCCCAGTTTCCCCCTCATTTCTGCTACAGCAATCGTGACTTCAGACATGTCACTACTGATTCTCTAGCTATTCCTGAAAATTCTCACTCATTTTGATGAAGAGCTTTTTCCTCATCAAGTGTCAGGTGGAAACATCTAGCATCCATCTTGGAATGGCAAAATACCCATTTTGTGAGAGATTGGTTTATCTGTAGGACAAAAATATAACCAATCTGTTCTGAAAAGAAACAATTTTGTCAGGATGGAATCTAACGTATTAAGTGCATAGGACTATATATCTTCAAGAGGCATCCACCAGCAAAAGCAAATACCAAAGTCAAAGCAATGAGAAATTCAGTTTTACTCAATCTCTCTAAAACAATGTAAAGGATACTGGCTCCATGAGAAGAGTCATGGTTGAAAGATGGAGCATCTCTGCTGCATTTTCTGTATCTAAGGATGGTTAGAGGGGCTCAAAACAGGAACTAGCCCAGACTGGCTCCAAAAAGGAGTTTCTTTGCAGCAAGGCAGAGTCAGAAAGAACAACTGCCAAATTCTGCAAAGACTGTCACCAGGTCAGGTGCTGTTATGCAAGTGATCTGCCAGGTACTCGCACACAGGTACTCCCACTGCCAGTCCATTTTTGTGAAGCAAGTATGTGGTGTGGTTGCTGAAGACATCCATGTCCAGATTTCATGGCCTTTCATGGGGACTTGCTTTAACATCAGTTGTTCAAAGAACTCGTGTGCAATCCATGCAGCGGTAACTGTTTCTCTACACCATTCATCATCCCAGGGATCTCCCCACCAGTTTGCCATATGGTTGGACTCTATCTTAAGGGCCTTTTCCAACCTAAATGATTTTATACGCAAGGGATCACACTTTGAAATAGAGTCAGATATGACATTAAAGCACTGGGACAACTTTGCACTAACTTTCTGTTTCAAGTATTTCTTGCACGCTCACACTGCCTGTTGCCAGTTTCATTGAGTCCAGCTCAGCAACCCATCCAGCCAGCAGACAAAAATCAAGCCCTGAACAGTGTACTTACAGTAATAGCAGCAATACATCAAGTCAAGTACAACAGTCAAGCAAACATCATGACAAGGAAATCCAACAGGATGAGGGCAGGTGCTCTGAGGTAGCCCAGAAAGCTTGGAAGAACAGGGCTGAATATACTAAAGAGGACAGGAGGGTATCTAACCTGTTTGGAAATGGTGAGTGCACACTAGCCCCTGTCATTTAATAAGGACACAGTTAAAAACAGCATCAGAGAAGTGGTTTGTGATGGAAGGATATGAAGGTGGAAGTTTCATATTCCTGCTACCCATTTCCCCAGAAGACACTCTTGTCTTTCTCTTTCCTTTCTTGCTACAGCACTGAAAGCCCCTTTCATTGCCTCAAAACCTTACAAGCAAAGCTGCACTCCACTAAGCCTCCCAAACCTTGCCCTGCCCTCCCTCCTTACAGCCACAAACACTCATCTGTTCCACTGGAGGTGGAGACTAAGTATTTGCAAATAGTTCTTTTAAATAAACTAGATCTACAAAGTTGTTCATCTGCATGCCAAGTTAACTGATGAGTCATGTTGACAAGGCCTTTACATGCTTGAATTAGTTTCTTCAAATACTTAACATTATAAATCTGTTTTTGGAGTGCAGTATTTTCTTTTGATCTAAGCCTCACCTACTGGTGATATAAGACATTTGTATAACCAGCTTTGCATATTCCATGGAGCAGTTTGTTTTTAAGAGTCTAAGATTTAGGTGCAAGAAAATGATAATCAGAATAGAACAAGTTAAGGTTTGTTCCAATTCTGCACCAAACAAAAAAAAAACAGACAACAGAGGAAAAGTTCTGAAACAGAGGAATACAGTTTTCTGTTACCTACTAGCTGTGCATTAGCGTTAAAGCACTGTGCTTTAGCATTAAAAAACAATCCTTCCTGGTTCCAGATAGAAAGCATCTTGAGTTTAATGCAGCTTGCACCCTTTGAATTTTCAAAATAGGTTTTCAAAGGGAAAGTATTGAACCAACTGACCCAGACTGATTTGCAATGTTAACCAGTAATTCAGATCCACTGATAAACACCTCCTAAGAACCATTTGATTTCCATTATTTTTTGTCTTCAGAGATGCAGCAGTTAACCACACACCAGGAAGGGACCAAAACTTTTAATCCCTATTTCCTCCTAACTCATCTGTGTTAAAATCTGTACACAATAGAAGGGATTAGTAGGCAAATGCCAACAACACAGACAGAGATTTTTCCTGTTTCCAGAATAAAGCGGGTGACAAAGTATTAAAATTGAAGCAAAGTTCATTGGCTCTCACAAAAGGAGAGATTACCAGGGGACAAACTTAGGCAAGAGGCAGTCGACACAGAATGGGGTAGAAGAGGAACAGACCTACGCCAGGAACTGCTCAGGTCCGCTGAGTTTGATAGCTTTCAGGCAAAGGAGGTTCTGTGAAGAGCTAGTCTTATACACACATTCCCCCGTTGGGTCAGGTGCACGACATGACACAGTTGATACCAGCTGAAAGTGTAGTCTACTCCACAGTTACACAGTAATTCACTTGCACATAGCATCCGCAAACGCAGCCCAAAACCCAGAAAAAACAAGAGTCCCATATGGTAAATACAATAAATGCCATAACTACAATAAAGATGAAACATGAGATCTCCCCACAGCTTAGAATGGGCCCTTGTGTGTTACTTGTTGCAGATGCAGCATTAGGACTGTGGTATATAAAAGCAACCAGTGTTTGCTTACAGCTCTCAGCTTTCATCTCAGCAAACTGCTAAAAATGGGAAAAGTAAACAGAAGCCTCAGTATGCCATCACCCTGCTCTGACAGACACTGGGATGGATTATAAATCTTTGCAAATGTTTATATTGCAGATCTTTTTTTTTTTTAGGAAGACAAGAGCTTCTGGGCTACTGCTATAAATGTAGCAGTGATCACCTTGACCTATGGTCCTGTGTGAAACAATGCAATTCCACCTGAGTGGAAAAAGGCAGCTGGATGATTTACAAGAACCCCAACTACTCAGGACACTGGTACTTTTTAAAAAGGGAAGACCATCCTGACTTCCAGAAGTGGTTCAGTCTGCAACCCCAACAGGTCTTGCCATGTAATCCTACAAATGAGTTCTCCTTGGCAGTGTATCATAGTTTAAGAAATTTGGTATAGTTTATCCTTTAAGAATATAGCCAAAGTCTCTTCAAGTAACTTGAGAGACAGGTAAAGTTCAGTAAGGCAATGCAAAGTTTCACTGGAGACAAAGGAAATAATCTGTTTAATATCAGTGCTATTTCCAGGACCTGTTCCTCACTTGGAGATGCTAAAAGAAAGCTGAGTGACTACTTCTAGGTAGAGAGTGTTTTTACATTGCCCAGGGAAGGGCTAGCAAGGCCAGCTGATACAAAGTCCTTCTGAGGGCTGATGTATGCAACTTGCTCATGACCATACTATGTTATGATTCAATGCCACAATAATATGTTAAATCAGATTTGCAATGGCTACAGCTTTCCCAACATAAAAGCTGTGTTGGTTAAAATCAGGCAAAGAATTAATACCTGCTAAAGGACTTCTCTGGTTAGTAAGATATAAGCCATAGCAGCAGGAACATTCCATATGTTATGCTTCACGTAGCTCAGCAATTTGCCTCATGGCAATTGCCTATGCACCAGTGTATAATAAGAGCATACGGTAAATGTCTTTTAGTGGCATAATTCTGAAAAGGACAAGTTATTCTTGCCTGGTCACAAGTAAACACCACAGATCATCTCAAAGTCACATGAATACATTTTCTCTTGTTGTCACAAAACAGAGTCCTTATAAATCCTATTTCTTCGAATCATAAAGCATCCTCCGTTTACTTCCTACCACACGTGATCATACCCATTTGCTGGCACTCCTGAGCTCCTCCATGTGGGTAATAATTAAGCCTCCTCTATTAGCTTCAAAAAAGTCAATCTCCTCACAATCACATCTCCAGAATAGAACACGATTTCTCAGAAATTCACATAGTAGCTGGGAAAGTTGCCTTTTTCTGTATGTCCATCTTGTTCAGTAATGTCAGAATCAGTTAAATTTCTGTCTTTCCTACATTTTTGCTGTGTTTGCCACTGCAGAATACTGTTTCCCACAAGATTCAGCTCTATAAAAAAGAAGAGCTCCAAGGCCAAGTGTTAGAGCTCACTGATGATTGCTCATTGGTCCCAGGCTACATCCATTTCCCCAAGATCTGCTCCCTCAATGTTTTAAGTGGTTCTTGGATCTTGTATGAAATGCCCAAATTCAGGGGCCAACAGTATTTACTGAAACCCAGGGAATATAGAAGATTCCTTGACGGGGTTGCAGTAAATGCCAAAATTGTCTCTTTGCAGAGGCTGCCTGACTTGCACTGAGTTATTGCTCCCACGCTAAATAAACAGTGAATGCATTCCAAAATCCTTGTTCAAACGAATCTTCCTTCAGCACTACAAACAAATTAAAGTGCAGTCCAGAGAGAAAACTGATTTCTCTCACGGTTTAGGGGGAGAGGAGGAATAATTTTAAAAATATTCACAATTATCTAGCTGTTCCACAGTACATGGTAATTTCATAACTGCGAAAGTTCCAACTGCATATTGCTAACCCTGGTAAGTGTAGAGCTCCTCAGTCATTACTTCACTGGATGTAGCTATCAATGGGAAAGTATGATTCTTTCATCTAAGTTTTCCCCAGTTTTACAAGTTTTGATCTAGAAATAGATTCCACCTCTATTCTCACCAGGGGGAACAATATGCAGTTGAACCTTTAACAGTTATTTAAATTACAATGTACAGAACAGAAAAGTAAGTCCCATTTGTATCCAGTGAAGTACTGACTGAGGAGGGAAAGGACAGAAGGATGCAGAGGAACTCAGAAGGTGGTGAACACTGCATTTGGCATGAAATACTTCATGCACACAAGCTGCTCTCTGCTACCACCAGTCCAGCAAAGCTTTCCAGTCTTATCCCAGCTGATTCCTCCAGAAAGAACTTCTCCAGATCCTTAAGTCACACCCCCCTTTATACATCATATTTTAGTGACCCTGTACTTCATGAATGAGATATTTAGCCAGTGTTGATTGCCCTGCCTCTACTAACTTCAGAGCTGCACTGATCTGCTGCAGCAGGAGATTGAGCCAAATCCCTCAACTGCCAGGTTATTCTTCATGCAAAAGGAATTAAATAAGCATACCAGTGTGGATTAGAAATAGGACAACATCTTGTTGTGTTGGAAAAAGTCTATTGCAGCATTAATTATCATTCAAGTCATTATGTATATGCCTACTAATCACCACCGAATCCTGTGCCAGCAGGCACTCTGTGCCATAATGAATGAGAGACATAATAAAATATAATAAAACACAGTTAAGGGATCTCATATCTTAACATACCTCTTCTCATTTAGGTAGTGGAGTCTCGATATGTGTTTTTCCCAGGCATATTGAGGCAAATATACTACTGCTCTTCAGCAAGGTGCTGAAGACTTTTGGAAAGAGAAAGCAGTACAGAGAGTACAAGGAAACTCTGCAACCTTATCCAGCACATATTTAATTTTAAGTCTCATTTCATCTGGGCTTTAAACAGTAGGCTTTGATTTTGTTTTGCCTAGTAAACATTCTGATAATGGAGTCCTTGAATAAAACCAAGCAACTTCTACAGCTGTGAGGTAGACTGCGAAACTCACATCTCCACTTGCTAATGTCAGAGACCTCATTTAGCCATTATTTCACACCCACATGACCCATCAGTAATAGCCTGCTAGTGATCCTTACCAGCCTTTCCCTGACAACCCTGGAGAGGAAAATAGAAATATTCTTTGCCCTTCTCATTCTTTCTTTTGTACATGGGACACTATCTTTGCCCTCCTGCCTGTCCTTTACTGCACAAAGTAGGCTGTTAAGCTGCTGCAAATGCCTGATGTACATAAGAACACCATGCTTCAGCCAGAGAGAAATGGAGCATGAACAATTCAGCTCTCAAGGCAGAGGTGTGAAAAAGCATGTTTCTTCTTGTTCACAAATACCTAATATTGTGCATTTACCGAAACTGCACAGTGTAACCTGTGTGTTAGCACACTTAGGTTAGTGTGCTAACCCAGGTTTGCAAAATAACACAGCAGTTCAAGCACAGTATCTACTTGCCTGCTTAGAATAAGGAACCAAAATATTTTATTTGCCTTCAGCAAGAATAAAATAAAGAAAAAACAGACCAGCTCACCACACAGCAATTAACATATGACTACATACTCCAGCAAAGTATCTGGTTCAATTAGTGCAATTGAGAAATATCGCTACGCAGTGATGTGTAGGTTACATGCTGGCATTCCTTTGGTCAAAGGCAAGAATAAACAGAAATGCACTATTCAGTGATCAGAGCGATAGTTAGGATGTCTCAGTTCCTAACTCTGCTGTGTCCTAGAGTTTGGGGGTGGCTGAACCTCTCCAAACTTCTCCACCTGACAGGAATGGTGGCAATTCCTAGTTTTCAAGGAACACTGAGGTTTTACTTGCTTTTGTTCGCAAATGCTCAGAGAATCTAAAGCAGACATTAAGAACAAGTGTGCTAGAGGAGAGGAGCACTGGGAATTCACAGGGAGCATCCAAGTTTTCACTAACAAGTCTTCTAGGTTCCTGTAGCTTGTTTCATGGTTGGTAGCAGACACTGCAGCTGCTGGCATGCAGGGTATGTTTCTGTTCCAGATTATCCCTATGCTTGAGTTTTTCTGGAGTGCAAAAGCAGTCGATCTCCATGTAAAAGCAGCTGTCAGAACCGCATACTAGTTGAGGGCGGTTGAAACAGAGGTAAATAATCAGATTCCTCAGATCATGGATACCATTTGGCTAACAAGATATTTTGACTCCAGATTTTAAGATCAACCCACAGCCCTTCGTGCAGTGCACAGCCCATCTGTGGCAGTCCGGGAAGGAGAAAGTCTACAGGATTCTAGAAGAAGCCGAATGAGTACTTGGAAGACAAATCCACTGAGGGTTAATTAACCAGAGAGAAGTAACCTCCTGCTCAGGAAACCTCTTGAGCTAAAAACACTTGAGATCTTGAAGTCTGAACAAAGTATCATATATATTTGCTTCATATCTATGCTCGCCCTCTGTTCCTACTCATGGTCGCGGTTGCTGCCAAGTTACTTGTCTAGCTGGACTGCCGGTCTGACTCATGATGGCTGCTCTATGTTTGTAGCTACAATAAGGAATTCACATATCTCTGCCCCTATTCTGTTCTCTCAGGTACCAAACTTCATCAGCAAGCCCAATGCCCACTGTATTAGACTACGAAGGACCATATGGGACCCAAAGGACAAGCTGGCTCCACAAAGCAAGCATGATCACAGAAAAAAAAAAAAAAAAAACCAACAAAAAAGCGTAACACTTCCAAGCCTGTCAAAGCTCTTTGAGAAATGCAAGCACAGGCCTGCACATAGAAGTTGTTCCTGTAAATGAATTCAACTTGCTTAGCATTAACCATCAGGAAGAAGTTATTTTTGATCCACAGAAAGCATGGAGGTATTCAGAAGCAACAATAGACTTAAATTCACGC